TAATGAACCAGAACTGGTCATTTCAGTCTCTCTTATCAGCCTTGTCGGCAATGCCATCTACATATGGTGTCTCTACAGAAAATACGGCTAGTTGGCATTCCCTACATTTTATATGGTTACTCCATCATAACTGATGAATTTAAGCTAAACCATTCAGATAGATTATCTGGGCGAGCCTAACATGTGTTATTTCTATTAATTTACCCAAGTTCGCGCAGAAGTCTTCGAGGAAATTTAAAAAGGCAATGCAGATGGTCTACCAACTGAGATACTTATAGTCCCAAAATTGTGTTCGTAGTTTAGTTTAATTTTTAGTTTAATTTCAGATGTTCTGCAGTTAAGTTTCGACTTTCATCAGGTTTACCTTAGTTTAGTTTCCTTAGTATATAGTATTTATTTAAATATATTTGTTTAAATTTGGCGGTATCTACCTACACTAAAATCTAAACTAAACTAAGGATAATGGTATATTAATAAACTAAAAACTAACTTAATCTAAATTAAAACTAATATAAATAAAAGTAACCACAGGACTAGGGGTGAGCGGTATCCAAAGTGGGCAACCAACTTAACTGTTAGCATTGAATGAATTTAGCTGTCACTCAAACGACCCAGTTTTGTTATCGTCATTAAGAAAATGATTTCTGAACCGCAAATGAAAAGGAAATTGGACCAGAAGTCCAGTTTGGCAAGTATAGTGTACTGTCGACAAATTCTCGTCAGGCCTTACATTTATATGGAAACTGAGTGCGAGTTCAAACATGTTCGTCTTTTCGTCTTTTCAGACCAACCTGATGTGCATTTACTTGTTCCTGTAGAGCAGGTTATGTTGGTCGCACGAGCCGGCGCATATCCAAAATGATAAAGGAACACATCCCGGTATGGCTGAGAATGTGAAAACACTGAACCCAGGTGTAATGCTGGGTACGATTCAGAATTTTTCGCAGGTTGAGATTTTTTTAAGCCGGCATATACCACCTATTTTCACAGGTCCCTAGTACACATTCCTAGGGTTCTTGATTTTCGTGGTTATCCCTATAATAGATTATTACCAAAATTGGTCTTGGAGGCCGGAACATACTCTCTTCTTGAGGCATACAACTATAAGCAAGCGTAGTTTTTTTGCCGAAAAAGCATACAAATGACCGGTTAATTGCATGCTTTCTAGCTTTGAATTTAAATGAGTCTGTAAAACCGACTGTAAAGGATTACATGATAGTAGTTCCTGCAGGTGGCGATAAAAAATTCCGACAGAGAATTATTGTTTGAGGCAGTCGCAAAAATAAACACATGTTAAATTCGTTATCCTGAAGGGATCGCTGACATAATTTCGGATTGGACTACATGTTAAGCGATGTTGAAACTTTGCTAAATTAGCCTTGTTGATACAAAAATGTATTTTTCATAATTTAGGTTATCCTTTCGTGCTATAGCCCACTGGCTCCAAAACATACTTGGATGACCAAATACCCATGCACTACCCAGACAAGTGCCCTTCAATGACATGTTATTTCCTAGTCCAAGTTGCAGCCGCCGGGGCCCTGGAATATGGCCGGCCAAAGAAGGCTGACAATTTCAAAAAGGCTCCTCGTCTTTGGCGTCCTTCCCACTGCTGCATTCCTCCTTGTCATGCGTCCCTCTGCAGGGGCAGGATGCTTCATGGAGGCACAATGGAAGAAGTATACAAGGAGGGGCACCAAAAAGGAGAATTATATTCAGTATTTGAACTGTTGCCTTCTAAACACTCCGCTCACAGCTACTACTGCAAAGTTGACCAAATAGCGTTTGTGAAAAAAGAACATATCAACCATCCTCCCTCGATGGCCCACCCGTCGTTGATGACTAACTTTTTCGACATGATAAGCGTTTCGGAGGCTGAATGTGCCTCTTTATGCCAACGAAGTAAACCTGCACTACAATCTGCAAGTGTCGAGGCAGTGAATAAAATACTGCCTCAATTGCGGTGATCGGGAAACTTGAATCGGATCTCCGGTGACCACCTTAGAAAAACAAAAATTCCGGAATATTTTTAAAACAAAGTGTCACCTGCAGGAAATTGATCTCCCTCCCAGACAGTTTTTGACTAGTTGCGTACAGGATGTTGGCAAGGCATGGGAACAAAAGTACAGTACCTCCATCATATACTCCAGAACCAGAAGCACTAGGTTTGGTGTCAGGTTGCGGGTTATGGCTCGAGCATATTACTGTTCCTGTAATGTTGCCCAAGAGCCGCTGTATTCTCACAAAGAAGGCTTCTACTGTTGTACTTTATCCTTACTTTTGTTTTCATTGTGGTCATTAAACTTCATTTATGATGGATTAAAAGAAGAAATGACAACGAACGAGATGATAAGACACCTATTGTCTGATATTATGTATTAGCGAGTTATAACTGCATACGAGAGGTTACCCCAAAAAACAAATGAGAATTAGTTTATGCAAGCAATTCACTAGGCTTACGAGATATTCGTCCTTCTCAGTTGGAAA